TTCGCTGAGGCAGTTGTACGTGCTCGTTGCTCAATAATTAACTGGCAACATGCACGCAAATGTTTTCCACCCTCGCCACACACACATTCCGTCCCCACCCTCTCACTTCCTCCCAGTGGACGATTTTGCTTACCGAGCTGTCGACTAAAGATTCACAGTGGCATTGCACTTGAAAATATATATGTATAGAAAAAACACAAACATTTTCCAAGTATAAAGCTACCGGCTGTGGCATGTGTCTGCCGTCTCATTCAACTTGTGTAGTCCTGTCCTAATTAAATAACCAAACATTTTATTGTCCTCTCGTCCCATTCAGCTAACCTTTCTCTTGGAATTATCAATGAATACAACAATAGCTATTGCTTACTGAAAATCTGAAATTTTCAAATTAAATGGTTTTTTAATAATATAATTTTTATTTGAATTTCGAAGATTACTCGTTGTTATTTTCAATTTAAATTGTGGCATTCTTTTACAATAGAGGCTAAAAAACAACCATATGACTTTTAAATGATTTATTTATGGCAATGAAAAACGTTGGTCCTTAAAACACTTATTGAGTACAATATTTGTACATGATATCTACGAGAATTCGCGTTTAGCATATTGAAAATCCGATGGCTTTTCATAAAATTATGACTGCCGAAAGTCTAACTTTATCAGGTATAATTTCAATATGGAAATAAAACCAGATAATTAAGCCATGATTTATGAAAATGCGATAAGTTTTGATTTAGTTATGGCTGTCGAAATTTTGACTCATTTTAAATGGAATGTTTTGAGGGATTTATTTTTGATTATGTGATCAAATTTGGATTTTTTTTTACTGCAACATTTAATAAAATCATGCCAAGACAGTTTTTGACAAATATTCAATTACTGTTAACGTTGTATTTATTATATTTACTAATCACCATTTCTAACATTTCGATTGCAGATAAAATGAATATGTGCATATTTTAAATCAAATGTAGCTAAACCATTCTAGAGCAACTTCCGGAACATGTGTATTGCATGCTACTGTCGACGTTCGAATGATATCTAGTGCATTAGTGTATTCAAAATATCCCGCCAATAAAATCCATTGAAACATGTTGGGGCATGTATAAAAAGTTGCCACAATATGACAGGCCATTCAATAACTGTGTATCTATGTGGCAATAAACAGCCACAAACAACACAAAATATACATAAAAATGCAACAAAAATCCCGAAAAAGCTGAAAAAGACAAAAATTAAATGAAATGAAAACTAAAACAATGCTATGAAAAATGCGGCAAAAGAGTTGGCCAAGTCATAAATATGTATGGCTGAAAATCACAAATGGGCGTAGGAGTTCGGGTTTGGGTGGGGGTGTGGCGATATGTACTCGTAAATCGCCTGCCAGCTAAGCAAAATATCAGCTATATATATCATAAAAAAATATATAGATTATCAAATGCCGGCATGAGTGTGTTTGTCTGCGTTCAAATTGTGTGTTAAGAGCAGACTACAGCCCCAAACCAGTTGGCAATCGCGTATCGAAATGCAGCCCACAAAAAAAAAGCAGAAAATATATTTTAATACACGCAATAAAATTAGAACAAAATACGCAGTAAAACTAAATTGAAAAGAAAATCGTTATGGTTGACACAAACAAAAGGCAAAGCGATCCAAGCGCGTTAGGCAAAACGCGTTTTAGTGCCACCAACAACCACCACAACAACAACACCCATAACAACAACCACCACAATAACAACACCCATAACACACATCCATATTCGTCCCAAGCCCACACACATGTGCACACACATACACACACACACACACATACATATATTTATGCACACATATATAAATATTTATAAATACACTCTTGTTGGCGTGATAACTTTTGCACAGTTTTTCTTCGCATTTTTGTATCTTTTTTGTTGAGATTTTTAAATATTTTTTCATACGTACGGGCAAAAAAAAAAAGAGAAAAAAATGTCCGGAAAACTTCTTGGTTTTCCAATAATTTGATGTTGCGAACTTCTTTTGTATGTAAGCGCGATTGTGTGTGTATGCTTGTTAGCTGCTCTACATATTTCATAAAAAGCAAACAAGCAACAACAATATGACCGTGTGTGGGGAGGAAGCGGGCGAAGTCGCGAAACCTAAGCAGTTTGCGTACTTTGCAAGGGTCGCGAACTGTTGGCAGCAGTTTGTAAAATATATTTTTATTGCTATTGCACACACACACTCACACACACACACTGACTACAACAATAACGATTCCTTTCGAGCACTGCTAGTAGTGTCGGGGGCGGAGAATGAGCCTTTTCCTGGCACCGCTCCCCTTCTACACCCTTTGACTTTAGCTATTAGAAACTCTGACAAAAAGCAGCAGCAGCAGCAGGAACAACAACAGGCCCAAAGGCAGCAGCAGCAGTTACAACAACGACAAAACAGGAAAAAAAAACTATAGTATGGTTTTTGTCATATTTCACCAGCTAACCAACACACTCTTCCACACACATCCATGGAGCAGCATCAGCACTATAAAGAGGCAAGGAAGCAGCTGCAGAAGGGTCGAATACGATGGTTGGCAGGTTGCAAGGATTCCACGCATGTTGCGTATGCCACTGGTACACTATACAAAAACACTTTCATTACTTTAGCCAGGAACGAATGCGAACAGTGGCGCAAAGTATGGAAAAAAAGAATCCCTTAGATGAATAAACATAAGATAATATACTACAAAATATCTATTTGCCGATTCAATGAGCTTTTGCAATGAATAACGGCTGAAGTTTGTATCTCAACAGGCATTTGAGATAGCCAAGACTTCATAAATATAAATATTATTTCTAAATAAATATTAATAAGCTCAAACTATAATATGTAACTTGCAATTAGCTTAGTAATGACAATAATAATAATGGTAATAATAATAATTATAATAGTAATAATAATGAGAATAATATTCCTCCAGTGTTTGTGCCCATTGTGTGCGATCCGAGGACTACTTAGTACTACATCGTACATTTACTTGGTGTTATTTCATGCGCAAAAGTCGCTGTGTGCTGTGTTTGCTATTAAAAATGACAGCAGCTGTGTGTGTGTGTGTGTGTGTGTGCGTGCTGTTGCACACGCACACATGCACAATGACACAATAACGCACACACGAACACATGGCGGTCCGGCAAGAACACGATTTTAACACACAAATGAACTTGTTCGCCATGTTTATGAGCTGATAAAAAACAGTTGACCAACATTTGTCTGCGTTTTCAGTTCGCAGTGGGTTTCAACACGACTCCTTAAGACTTGCCCTTTTGGTATTTGCTTTAAAGTTGGGACACAACATAATAATAGAGTTATTACTGTTTTTAAGCTGCTAGCGGCTGGATATTTTGGCCCATAACTGACTTTTGTGGCCTACTTAACGGCTGACAGTTAACATTTCCTTACACCTCAATATTAGTGAGCCATGGAAAAGCTTTACATTGTTTCGCCAAATCTGACACAGTTTTGCATACGCAAAGCGACGGCGCTCTTTTCAAAGAGCAAAGTGCTGTTAAGCGCACAATAACAGAGCGCTGCTGGCATGTTAACATTTTTGGTGTTAACTTAATAAATTATTTGGTGTGCTAGTCTAAGTATACAACGTCACTATTAATAACATTATATATGGTAAAATGGTTAAATATCTGTTTTTATTGTTTTTCTTATCTTATCCCCTTCATCATTGTGTGTGTTATTGTTCTTGTATTGTTCAGTTCTGTGCGAAGCACACTTGCAGTGATTGACAGGCTGGAAACGTTGAATGGGCAACAGGTGTGCATTTGATTGATATCTGAAGTTCGATGATAAAAACAAAAAAACGGAATATAGTTGAAAATATTTTTGCAGTGTGGATAATTGCAGCAAAATTTAAATAACATTTACTTAAGAACTGCTTATAAAATTGAAACGGATCGCATTTACAAAAGTTGTACTTAAGTAAAGTATTAAAAAATTAATTAAGATTATGTATTACTTATGCAAATAATAAAATTCATTTAATGCTCAATCAACAATAACTATTACAATGTAAGAACTTGGCCTTTGTAGTAATATTATTTAATGCATAATTTTAGCACAGAAAACAGCTGATTGTACTAAAAACAAGCTGCGTGAGAGAGAGAAAAGAGAGAGAGAGAGAGAGAAAGACAGTGCGCTGAGAGCAAATGATGCACGAGAGAGTGAGAGAGAGAGCGAGAGAGAAAAGGAGAGCGCAAGCGAGAACAACACGATGCCGCTGGCTAATAAGAAATGTAAACAAGCTAAGAACTTGCTATAAATTATCAACTACTTTGTTGTAATATTACATGCCACATTCTTACTCATATTTTTCATATATTTTTAATAGAAATATTATGGAATTTATGTTTTGCCTATAATTAGAATAGTACAACTATTCACGGTCTATTTTGAAGGCTACAAATCTTGCTATAAATAAAATGCATAAAGCTTACAGATTTACAAGCTGGTCGCTAACAGAGCGTTAACAGCAGCTATTAAGCAGCAGCTATTTGGGCTGCTGCGCTCGGCTTTCACTTCGGCAATTTCGCTCTCTCGCTCGCCGCCACACTCATTGGCGGCGCTGTGATGGTCTTCGGGCAGGCTGCTCGGGATGCTGCCATCTGTTCGGCTGCGATGGGTTTTTTTTCGGTCGCTCTGCTCTGTATGTACCATAAAAATCGTTTCAGTGAGAGTTTGCGATCCCGCGGGTACGGTCGAAACTAACGGGATTTTCGATTAAATTTCGCCGATAACCCGTTTCCGTTTCGCGTTTCGAATTGTGAGTTCCGTTTGCATTGCGTGCACCATTTCAAAAAATATGTAGAGAATCTCTCTGAATTTCGAGTGTGCTGCCAATCAATTCTTTGAAATGTGAAACGCAACAAAAATGTGTCTGTCGAAATTGCGTATACGCCGTGTTGATTACACTTGAGAAAATTAAATAAAATAAGAAGAAAAAGAAAAACCAAATCAAGAACGAGAACGAGAACTTAAAACGTGCCACGTTCAACGAGCGTTTTTTTTAGATGCGATTATTGTCGCGTGTGGCGCGTAAATTTCGCACATTTACTCTCTGGCTGGCAAAATGTAAGCAGTCGATTTGTTGTAAGCGACAACCAATTTGTTGTCATTGTCACAGTTGTTGTTGCCGTTGTTACTATTGTTGTTGTTGCTGCTTAATTTACAAATCAACGTTTGTCGACTGTCGGGGCACGTTCCCAGCCGATCCAATACGATCCGAGTGGGGGACCACCCACAGCCCACACCCACCCACACTCTCTGACGTTGTCGTTGCCGTTGTCATTGTCGTTGTCGTTGCAGTTGTCGCCTTGTTCTCAATGAAAAGCGCTTTTCATTGGAAAACACACACACAACGGACAGAAAATGCGAATCTCAGCAGCACCATCGTTTGGATTACTTAGCAGTTAGCGTCGATGCCACACATTACGCTCTGTGTATGTCTTTGTGTGTGTGTGTGTGTATGTGTATATATATGTATGTGCGTGTAAGCCGGCACATGAAACGATTTTCTCGCTTGCACGACAATTCCATTTTAGTTAGTTGAAATAGTTTCCGCAAAAGGCTTTGTTGTTGCTGCCCCTCCTCAACAAATTGCAGTAAATTTGTTATTGTTTGTGAATGCCATTGAGAGTATTTAGCATTTACAGGGTATTTCTTATGCAACTGGGTAGTTATGCATTCATATGCCTTGTCAAATTTCATAGCTCAAGTGCTAAATTGCTGGCATTGAATTCCAACATAACAACAGCAGCACATCACAAACTATAATCAAATAGAAAAATAAATGTATATATCTATATTAATAAAAAGGAATGTCAGGCGAGAAAAGTGTTGAGTGATGCAGATTTGGTCAATTGCTAAATTGTTGAAGTGTGCGTGTAATTTCATTACACAGAGTGCTCTCCACAAAGGTACTTGAACTGCGACAAAAGGCAGCCGCCACAAATAGATGGGAGATCAAATGATTAAGATTGTACGGTTAGAGGAAATGGTTAATAGAGGGTTGCACAGATTGAAATTGACATTGCTTCAAGCTGCAAAAGGCAATACAAAATACAAATACCCATATTTTATTAATTTATATGCTTCTTATATTTTATTAAGTACATTACAAAAAAGCTCAAATGCTCAGAAACAATTAAATAGCGATAAAAAAGAACAATTTCTTTTCTAACTTACTTTAAAAATCGAAACTTGAACAATTTGCAGAAACTGTGAAGCTTATTTTTGTTAATTTATTGCACTAAAAAGAATAATTAATTTTGTAATTTATGTGTTAATAAGTGAACCACTATTTAAGGCATTTCCTAAAGCACTTATTAAAACTATAATTATTAACACAACTCAAACTACTTTCGACACAATTAATTTGAACACAGCAACCAATTCAATGAAACCGATGGCCACAAGAGGCCATAATGCGGCCAGCACATTGCATCCAAATTGTGTGTTTAAATGAGACATTTAATGGCGTGCGCATTTGATCGAGCACAAAGTGCATAAATTAAGTATTGAAATGTGTGTGTATTTTAATATGCAATTTATATTGCGGCCAGTGCGTAACCGAAAACCGTAACCGAAACTGAAACCAAACTCGAATAATACACAATAATTCAACAATTGCATTCGATTGTAATTTGCATGTGGCTTAAGCATATTAAATGTTCAGCAAATGTTGCCAGATCGGCAACAACAACAGAGAGAGAGAGAGAGAGAGAGATGGAGCTCGATAGAGAGAAAGAGACTGTTGCAAGGTCACTGGCATGTAAATGCGCAAGGAGTATGCTGCAAAATTAGCAGCAACAACAGCTGCACGATGATGATGCCAAGTGTTGAACGCTCTGATTGCTGCCACGGCTACTCGGCAATTTTAGTATTCATAAAATTGTACTTGAACACACAAACTCTGACACATACAAATACACACACAGCAGACCAGCAGAGGTAGCCATGTATGGATTTTTATAGGCTCACTTAGCGCACATAAGCCGCAAAAAAAAGAAGGAAAGCACAAAAAATGGCGTCGACTCCGACGCTTGGCCCTTATGGCAGGTATTGCGAGTAGAGCAGCTCGAGCTAGGCTAAAGAGCTCTTCAGCCACCCGTACACACACACACACACATACTCAAATACATACACCTATATGGCATGCCATAATAATATTGTAACTTTGCACTTCAAATTGCATTTTAATGCAAACACACTTCATTAGATTACATTGCAACAAGAACAACAACGACGGAAATGGAAAAAACGTCGACACACTTTTCTGCACTTGCAGCCGGAGAAAAAAACACACACACACACACATAAAACCCACACACAAACTTTCGTGTGTTTGGCAATTGAAGTGCATGTCGATCGAGAGAAAACTGGCACAACGTACTGCACGCAACCAGGTTACGTATACGCCGCGTAATGCGGCAACAGCTCGAACCCATATTAGCTAATGTTGCAAAAGACTTTTTATTATTATTTTTGTTAGCCTGCTTTGTAGCACACTTTTTAAGCTAATAGCAAATTTGTGTTTCTTCGATTCTGATTTCACAGTTTCATAACAATATTTTCAGTTGATAGTTTGTGTTAGAATGTTAATATAATTTCCTGAAACTTTTTAAAATCACTAGAGTCTCGACTTCGGATTTACTAAAATTATTCCCATTTTGGATACCATGGTTAGGTTAGTCGCTTAACCTTAAATGTTATGAATATTCACTTTAGCCTCGATGGACATCATAAAATTAAATTTTTATCTACACTTTATTTCTTATTTTCTGTCGTCGCATCACACATGTTGTCCAACAATTTTACGATTTTATAAATTGAATAAAATTGTGTCATACTGAATCCGTTAAAGTGCTTGACATTGTTTGTCCTTTTGTGTTTATCCAAAGCTATTCGTAAAACTTTTATTGCCGTGGACATTTAAAACAGCGGATTTATAAGCGTCGAATATTTTGGGCGCTATTTGCAAATATTTTTCATCAATTTGAATAGAAAATCCGTTGCATTTTTTACTAGACAGTTGTGGATATTATTTTATGGCAGATCTCCAAAAATATTGACATTAATCGCTTAACTACTGTTTGCTATTCTTAAAATTTTTTGTTTGCTTTTGATTTATTTGGCCATTGAAATGGAAATCCATTTATTGGAGCCGCAGCTAACGGGGCAATCAGGCAGCGAAGGGAGTATGATAAATAAACTTATAAATATTTATTATGCGCCATTTTAAACAAAAAATAAGTGATATTAAAGCGTAACATTCAGTCTCCGCACTGTCCCACACCCTCAAGACTCGGTTGCGACAGAGTCGCGTATTGCATAGTTAAATAAACTTTTATTTATGATCTGCGCTACTGGGAGAGGGTGAGCGAAAATAAATAAATAAATCGAGATACACAAATACAAGTTGAAATGTGGCGAGCTTGTCAACAGCGGCAAAAATAAAATTAGTGCGCGGCGGCTAAAAGCATTGCCAGCAATGCCGACGTGGCCGATAAAACACATCAAGTCAATATATCATAAAAGCACGTCGAACTGCCTCGAATGTCGCGCAAAATGGCGGCGCGCTACTTCAGTGTGTTCGTGTATTGGTGTATAGACTAGAAACATGAACGTATACAGTTTCCGATTTCCGTTTTCCTGTTTATCGTTTATTGAGTTTTTGCTACGTAAAAGTAAAAGCATTGCAAAGAACAAAAAAAAATCGAAGAAAAAAAAAAACGAGAAAAAAGACTCAAACGCAAAATCGAAAGAGAAATTTGCACTCGTTAGCTCTTTGGCATTATTTCTGCAGCGCTCGTCGTCGTCGTCGTCGTCCTTGTCATATTGAACTTTGATGCTGGCACGTCCTGTGAGCTTCCTTACGCTCCCTTTAAAGATCTACACGCGCGCATACTTGGGCACATGTTTTGGCATTCTATTGGCCCTGCTAAACTTGCCTTGATTCGTCCTTTTGCGCCCCAGCACGTTGCCAGTTGCCAGTTGCCAGTTGGTCCCTGTTTCTTGTTCCTGGTTCCTCGTGTGTTGTTAGTCATTTATATGGGCACCATAAATTATAACAAATATGTACGCAAGCGGCATTTTAAATGATTTCCTACAACTTTCCCCCAAAAATATCTCTGCTTCTTCCTTTCGTTCGGTGTCTTCCCACCCTGGTCCAGGACCCAAGTTATAAATATACTTTAATTAAAAGCGCTTCAGTGTGAGTGCAATATGTTGTAAAATATTGAGGAGCGGTAGGCATTTTGTACGTGTTGCTACTTTGCCAAGGCGTTTGCGATGTGATTTGTAGCTGTCTTCGCCCAATATATCCGTATGAGCTCCCCAGCTGCAGATAAGAAACTTCCTGTTGAGGCTGGTTGCGTTTGAGGACCTTCAGTCTTGTGAATAAACAAAATGCTGATTAGCTGGCAGTTTAGTGCTTTGGATAGCAATAAATTCAGCTCTAACTTAAAATCTAGCTGTAGATTTTTGTTTTACTTCATAACTGATATATCTTTAAATTGTCAGACTGAAATTATTATTTTACTGATAAATTAGAATGATTAACATTTATTTATTTTTGGCCAAAACTAAATAGTTGATCTCTAATCAATTCTAATTTTTTTATTCGAGCTATTCTAGGAAATATTCCTCATTGAATATATAATAATTTGTGTGGGGATTGCATTAATTACAGTTACATTTGCCGTCAATAAATAAAGCTTTTGTTTGAAGTGACCTTTGCATTGTTGCAAATAAATTCAGGCAAATTAAAAAGCATTTTGGCGAAATCGTAGAATTTTGCGTAATTTGTGTTTTTATTTTGGAATGTAACAACAAAAAACATAAATTAACAATTTAAATCACATAAATATCGTTTAAAAATATCTCTGTTATAAATATAAAGCAAACAAATTAACCCAATAAAATTCGGAAAATCACATAAATTACAATATTCAATGCGTGTGTGTATGTGTGACTGTGGGAGAGTGCAGTAAATCTGCTTATACATTTTGCCAAACCAAATATAAAGGCAATTAAATAAATTTCGACAGCGACAACAACAACAACAACAACAAAAACAACAAAATTAGCAACAACTTTATGAAACTGCCAAATGAAATTATTCCGAAACATTGCAGTTTCTATATGCACTTGATACATTGACATGTCAACAATATGCTGACCCCACGGCACTTGTCTTTTGCAGCCTCCGCAGAAATTTGGTAAATGGACACAAATAAAAATGTCAAAGTAAATCAAAGCAATATATGCAATCCAAAAAAGTCACATTAACGAATGCTTGCAGTGTGTGTGTGTGAAATTCTGTAGAGCCCAGCAGCAGCAACGAAAACTGCCCAATACATTGCCATTGTCATTGCCATTGACATTGTCATTGCCATTGGCATTATCGAGCAACACCAGCAGCAGCTGCTGTCACACCTCAGGCACTCTACGGCTCTAGACAGCCATCGTCCAACACAGAAAAAAACATACACACGAACACGAACAATCAGAAAGCAAGGCAACCATGTGCCTGGTTGTCAGCTGCTTGTCGTCCTTGCTGCTGTGCCTCGTCCTGCCCACGTTCAACGGCCATGCAGCGGCAGCAACACGTGCTCGCGTCAGCTCCTCGACAACAATGACCCGCAACATTGAGGAAGAGAACGGTAAGTTAACAAATTTTCAACCCTTCCTTAAGCCTTAAATTACATAAAATACCATTTCCCTTGTTCCCAAAAATAAGCATATGGTGTACATATTTAAGATGATATAATAATTGATTATAAACTAAGTTTAGTGTGTATTTAATTCTATACTACAATAATAATAATTTATACTTATATAAACAAATGATTGATTTTTAAAGTCATAAAAAGCTATCACCCTCAATGAGCACTTATATATATTTTAATTTGATTGTGCTCGGGCATATTTAAATTAAGTTCAGTGAACTGTAATATTACGAGTTGCATAGGGTATCATAATTCAGAGCAGCCACCAGTAGATAATTGTTATGTTCAAACAGAACAAAAAGCGACAAATCGATAAAGCGGATTAACATTTATAAATAAATCAGTATTATTGGTGATGAATAATTAACCGGCCATGAATTATGCGAGTGCACTTATGCTCTTATAAATCGATAAGTCTATTAATGTTAATTGCTTATATTAAGTTATATATAAATAATTGTTTGTTTTCATAACATTAAGCCTGCAATTAAATGTGTTGAGGTGTACGATATATTGAGCATTACAGGGTAAATCTTAGCTGCATACTCTGGCGCATCACTTCTTCGCTTTTTTCGGTGTGCTGCCAAAGAATTGATTGCGCCTGGCTGCAAATGTTGTTCCAGTTTAACCAAATTGCACCATGTGGCTTGTGTGTGTGCGAGATTTAATTTAAAGTGAAAAGTTTGGTTGCCGTTGACCCAGCCTATCTGTCTGTGTGTGTGTGTGAGTGGAAGTTTTATTAAATCAACATAAAGTTTATTGTGTGTGAATATGCGTACGCCTTCGTGGCTTGGTTCTGTCAAAGCGAAGCTTCTTCCTCTGCATTATTGAATGAATGAGATTTCTGGTTTATTTTGATAAAGTTTATGTGCAAATTTCATACACTTTAAATTATGTGAAATTGATTTTGGTGGCAGGAGATGCTGCTGCTGCTGCTGCTGCTGCTGCTGCTGCTGCTGCTGCTGCCGCTGTAAATTCTGTGCTAAGCCATTCCCCATCTCACAGCTGTGCGAAACTCTTTGTAATCGTCTAATGCTCCCCTGCCCGCAGTTCGAGCGTAAAATGAAAAAATAAAGAAGCAAGCAAAATAAACAAAACAAAAGGCAAGAAAACTTACTTTGAACGCCTGTTAATGGTCAGCAGCTAAAGCAGCAGCAGCTGTTGTGGAGGCAACTAGATGGCTTTTAGGGCTTGTTATTCTGTTTGCTTGAGTTATTGCCAAGGGGCCAAGATCACTCGCCAGCTGGTCAGCCACCAAAACTTTCGCTGCCCATCACTTTTATTCACCCCACCCCTTCGTCTTGCCTATCGCAAGCCAAATAATAATATGTTGCTAATAAATAAGCCAAGTAAATCGGGTGGAGGGCACGCTAAAGGACATAGCATATTTTTGTGCGTTGCAAAGAAAACTTTTCAAAGTTTTGTGTTCGTCTTTTTAGCTATCGAAAAAGTTGGCAAGCAAATTGAACAATAAGTACGGCCATTGGGCAGCCAAATAAACAGAAAGTTCGCCAACTTTATTGAAAGTGAGAAAAGCCACCTTGAAGCACCGCTAATTGCGCATTGTGTGGTATGCCCTGGAATCAGGCAGTTTATATTATGCGTCAATTAACTGAGTAAAAATGTGTATTTAATAACTCGAACAACTCGGCTTATGAGTAATTTACTCAAGAAACTCTGTGCAACATGATGTATGAGCGATGCGATATGTGAATATTACGCAAACAACATATGTGGCCAGCTGGGCAACTAATTTAGAGGCCAGACAAGTTCGGGTCTAAACCACTCTCGACTCGGCCGCCACTTGAGCCGCATTAGCCACAGCCACAGCTACAGCCACTTGATTCAAGTCCGAACAACAGCCACAGTGTGCAATCGTCCGATTGAAGCAGCGATGCCTATGGCCAGGCTGCATATTGTTTCTGCAGATTGAGCAATGTCTTCGTATTTTCATACCAAAGTTTGAAACAGTCAAGAAAACACTTCAAGGCGTGGGTGTTTCAATAAAAACACATATATGCAAAGGGGAGTAGGCAACGAAGGGGTGTTTTTAATAAATTTAGATTTTATGTATTTTCAATTGAATTTCGTTGGCGCCGGCACAAAAACTTTTCACTTTGGCATTTCCATGTTTTCCAAGTTAACTGCAAGCCGAAAAACCGCTACGCCTCATACAAAACCACTTCCCATGCCTGTCCTTCTGTCTTCCTCCCTGCCAGCCTGCTCGAGGAGTATTTATCGCATTTCTATGAAAACAACGTACTCACATTTTGTTCAAAAACTTTCAAATTATGTTTGGGTTTTCTGCCGCTGCTGGGGCGTTCGCTCAATTTGTTGTTGTCTGTTTTTGGGCAAAGTTTCCCATTTGTTGCCTCTGCGCAGCTTTATAAATGCTTATTTAGAGGCATTTCTGATGAGTTAAGTTTCTGCTGCCTCTGCCTCTGCCTCTGCTGCTGCCACAATCATTGCATTTCTCTAACATTGCAAACTTGGCCTGAATTGGATATAGATATCGTACCATCGCACTATAAGCTGCACTTGCCCCAAAGCGGCAAGTTGTTTGCTAATAGGTTCGACTGTGCAAAAGTTTCTTTGGGATTTAATGGTAAATTTTCAAGATTTTACAACCATAGTATTTACACATGTAAGTTGAGCATTTATATATGTGTATGTGTACAATTCATGACAAGTTGGAGCATTTGATTACAGAAAGAAACTATTTCCAATTCAAATGCAAATAAAGGCAGCTTCCAATAGGCCAAACTTATATTGTAATGTAACGTTTTATGTAACTTAGCCCGCATTTTCTTCTTAAGTTTAACTTTTTTGTAAATAAAATATATTCTTTATTTTAAATACCATAAAAACTTGTGGGTTTTGGAATTATAAATTTTAAATTGATTAAACAGAAAACGTAACGGAATTTTGAATTTGTTATTTTATTAAGATTCATTTATTTGTATTGTTAAACTTAAATATATTTTCCTCTTATGATTTTTGTTTTGTTACTTGATTTTAATTTGTTTTCTTTTTTGTTTTTACAGCTTTGTTAAATCTTTTGGCTGGTAAGTTTCGTGTTTGTTTTTAAAGCCATGTGCTTAGCACATAAGTCAAGACCATTTAAAAAAGCCACAAAAACCCTTAAACAATTTTCAAACGTTTACCAACATTATTGTGTGTGCGCCATGCCATGGACATCAAAATATTATTGATGTTCGGGCACAACCCAAACAATTTGCACACAAAATTGACCAGACCAAATAATAGATGCCGCAACAATACAAACAACAAGAACAGCAGCTGTGCTGCCACGCCCATAACACTAACACACACACGCACGCCCACGCCCATAAGCCGAGAAGGCTAAAAAGGAAACCCTGGTAAAGTCGGAAAAACAAAAATCAGCTTAGTAATGCAAGATATCAAAAGCAAAAGCCAACAAGCATCGACAACGAAATCGAAGCGACTTGCTGGAAACAATCCCCAAAACAACTTTCAGCCGGTCAAAAGTGATGAGCAACAATGGACAGTGGAACAGTGGAACACTTCCACTATTTTGCATCACTTTCTCATTCACTCTTCCCCTCTCTCATTCTCATTCTCTCTCTGTCAGTCTCCATGTCCCTCCCACTAGCTATATCTCTATCTAGACGTCTGTGTGTAGTTTTCGCTGCTGGCCAAAAACTTTCGCCACTGATTCCACTTGAAAGGCAAAAATTCCAGCGCTGCTTAAGTCGTTGCCTCTGGGGCGGCATTTTTTGGGCAAAGTTCCCTGTAAGCAGCAGCGGCAGCAGTAGCAAAAAAAAAAAGAAGAAGAAAATCAACTGACAGCGCGTTGAATGACAACGGCACGGAAAAGTCGCCGTTGCGAGGAGTTTGTCAACATTTTTTTTGCGACTCACACACATATATACACACACACACGCTAGCACACACACAGATATACACACGCACTTGAGGCGAACTGTCTGCATGTGCTTTTGGCTCTTGGTGCTCTTAGAGTAGTCTACTTAGGGGCCAAACTGATAGCCCAGTGGCCTTCTGGCCAGGCCAGGACTACACTTGAAACACAGTTGCCTATTCGTTAGTTGTTGTTGTTGTGATTTCTTGCTGTTTGCCGAGGACGTTGTCCTTGTTTGCCTTGGCTGGCCCATATCACAATGGCTCACAGCTCCGGCTTTTCTCATACTCATTCATTTCATGGTTTTACAAGGACATTTATCATTTTCCTAAGTAGACGGCGGCGCGTACGTCACAAAAAGGCGGCCACGCCCACACCCAATAGTAGTCCATCGTTGATTTCTATATTTCATTTTGGCGGGGTTGGCAAAGTGCAAAATATAAAAAAGAATAAATTGAAATTTCTACCCAAATGTTAAATAGAATTCATTTTGCTTAGTTTCAGATTTGTGGTTCTTATACATATTTGGACTCTCTCCCTCCATCTCTCCCTCCCTCTCTCCTTCTCTCTCTCTCTCTCTCACTCCTTCTCTATCACACTGTCATCCATCTCTAGTTCCGTTCGTGTTCTTGTTGTTATTCATGGCGCCTTCTGCGCCGTTTCTCTGCTGTATTATTTTTGTATATGAATTTCTGCGGCTGTTTTTACTACAACTGAAGCAAATCGTGGGAAAAGTGTCCAATTGGCAGCTCAAAAAAGTGGAAAATTTAAGCCTACTTGAATTTATTTGCGCTCATTAAGCCGACCAGTCGAGATGAGTTCATTTCTTATTGCCACTAGAGGTGACTGATTGCCAGACAGCTAAAGAGTTTAGCACGATACTTAAAAATCTCACTTCTACTTCAAACGGTTGGCAGCTTAAAGACGACAACACTTTAATATGCTTTCGGCTACTCAGTTCCTCGACTCCATAGCCTCTTAGCATATTCAGTAATACTTTTTGCATACATTTCAGCAGTTTCCATTCGCAGTCACATTCGCAGTCGCCTTAAACAGACTCACTAATGAACAAATAAAGCTTAGCAAACCGCAGCAAAAAAATAAAAATAAAAATAAAATAAAAAGAAAAGAAAAAATAAAGGCGCACAAGAAACGAAAGTAGGCCCTAATAAATCACAGCCAGAAAAGAAATAATACAAATACCGGGCAAATAAAGCCCCAGCAGAGGCAGAGACAGAGGCAGACGCAGAGGCAGCAGTCGCAGCAGCAGCCGCAGCAACATCAGGCAAGCAAAATGACAAAACAGTTTTGCATGGGAATCTCATGTTTGACTTATAAGATTTTCTACGCAAATTCCAATAGCCGAATGTCCAATGCTTTCACATGGGCAACAACAACATCAATGCCAATTAAAGCGACATACAAATTGACGAAATTTTAATACTCTTGCCTTATTTAAAACAGAAAGTCCTGAAATTTATTCATACATAAACAAATATTCAACTTTGTTAGAAAGTGCAGCTCCAATTTTACTGAAAACTGATCTATCGCCAAATTCCGAATACAATTTTTGTATATCGCACTTAGATGATGAAGTATCTCAAGATTTCAGTTCTATAAAATATTAGTAAGAAGCTTTACTGATACATTTTAAGTTTTTTGTAGAATCTCTGTAGGAAATCTAAGCTGGAACGCCTCGAAGATGTTTATCAGTTGCACACGGCAAACTTAATAACAAACTTATAATACCCAGAAAAACTAACAAGCACACACAGCTCAGCGTGTGGATGGGTGGGTGTATGTTTGAGGGGTGTGTGTCAAGCTGGACTCACATAAAGTCAACAAGAAAAATCAAACAACTTTGTTGAGTCTGGAACTGACCACTCCCCGAGTCCTTGGTCCCAGGTTAAGTTGCCCTATGCCCAAAGTCGGTGGCAGTGCTGTACAGAGTTTATTGTCGGTTTGTTGGCTGTGAGAGCAGTTGCCAACTGCCAACTATTATGCTTTGTTAATCGGCTTAGGCATTTTTGCCTTACGCTCTGCGTGACGATTTACTAGACAAAGCCAGCAGCTCAGACAAGCAAGGACTATGGAGTTGCTGGCAGGGACCACACCAATGATGTTGCCATGTGGCCCAGGCAGATTGTCTGCACTCTCGGCGTTTTGTGTTCTTTTGTCGCACGCGCCATAAACTCAAACCACACAGTATGAGCACATAGGGAGGAGTCTGAGCAGAAGAAGTTTCCACCTGAACAGGAGCGACGCACTCTGATGAGTTGGCTTTGTTTTTGTGGCCTTCCAAATTTGCGGGGCTTTTGCGGCCTGTGTCTTGCCTCATTTGGCTGGCAGCTTAGGACAACAAAGATGTACCAAAACATACACACATCCACACACACACACATTCGCATAGATGTACAGACACCCGTACATGCAGAAGCCTAAACAAATCCCATACCTGAACCGATCCTGATGCTACCTTGTGGCCTGGGCACAAAAAAATCGTTTTGTGTGTTTTCGTTAGCATTCCGTGCGGAATTTGATACTTGATTATTTGTTGCCGCCCTCAAGCGTGCATAATATATCAAAGCAGCGTCAACGTCAACTCGACGAAGGACTGCTAATCAGAATTTTCATCCTACCCACAGTCACTCAACATGTGAAGACGTCATGTTTCGGCAGGCAACGAATCGTGTTTTTCTGTGTATTTTTTTCCTCATTTTTTTTTTTTTTGCTTTTTAGTTACATTTTAGTGTCGGTCGCATAATAAATAAATAAATAAACAGTTGAAGCCTTGGCACCTGCAGGCCCTTCAACAGACTCTCTGGGCGTATGCTAAAGACTTCAAACTTGTCTTCAAGTTGGCCGCAAATCTAAATCGCTTCAACGCAAACTTAAAATTTATTTTGTTCGAGTTTGAAAAAAAGAAACATGCAAAAAGTTTTCCATTAATCTTTAGCACTTCTCACTGCTGTTTCAGCGGATTTGCATACCAAACCTTGCTGCTGACTTTATAAGCAACTGAATGCATAAGTATTCTCGCACATCAGCGCAACAGTTTACTCCGACACTGACCAAAACAGAATTTTGAAATCAAATCCTGTTTCCAATTTTTTAGGTTCTGTTACGATTTGATTAAGTTATGACATTGGAATCCAACTGTCTCCGACCTTAACTGTACTGAACTAAAAATAACGCATTTGTTTGGTAAAGTTTTTTAATTTAAACATTCGGTACACACTTTATGTGCATAAACATTTACACATTCAATAAACGGAAGCAACGAGATCAACAACACGCTTCAGCTTATGTTAAAAAAAAATGTTTAAAACACAAATGTTAAAGGGAGCTGAAAACTTTTACCCATATGAGCGAAAAGATATACCCAAAATTAAAAATTGACAAACAAAACTTTTCATATAAAATAAAAGGCTGACAACTATTCGAGTAAAAATGGCAAGAACAAAGTTTCGTATAGCAAGAATAAAATAATAAAAGTAAAAAAAAACATTTATGCATATGAACTTGTGTGTTTTGCAATCAAATTTTGTTAATAAAGGAAAAGTTTTTAAATATATATTTTGATCATTAATTAGCATATGCATGAGAGAGAAATGGAATTTGCATAACATAAAGACTGATTGATTTAGTGACTAAACCATAAGCCACAATGCCAATTAGGGTAGCTAAAGCCCCCCAAGTGAGAGAGCCTACGCAATTTGCCAGCACACTAATCATAAATGTTGAGTCATTAGCAGCTCAACAAATACATGCAACACAAATACATATATATAGATGGGGACACAGGCGGACTTGGAGACTTGGAAGATCCTTTGCGATATGCACAAACTTAAGAGCTTAAAGTGAAAAGCTTTGGAATACGGCGCCAAAGTTCTGTGTCTGGCAACTGTAACTTGCAATTGCATATGTCAGCCAGGCAGTAAGCCTAACAAAGACTCACACATACATATATAAGCACAGATAGACACTCACACACATACACCTGCATATAGAGCCTCTCACATTCATAACAATTTTGTTGAAAGTGTGTGTGTGTGAGCTTTATACGCTTTATGCAACATTTAAGTCCATTTGCATACAAAATCTAAATTAAAATTTGACACTGACTAACTGACTGACTGACTGACTGACTGACTGCCTGACGGT